TTTACTTTCCCCCACTCACCCCCATCCTCCAGAATGTATGTATATACACCAAAAGGTTGAGTTGTTTTGTTCTTTCAAATAAAATTTTAGGCCATAGAGAAATTCACAATTGATAAGCCAGTATAATAAGACCGTGGAGGTCCTGTTTGGTAAATCGTAGAGCAAGGACCAGATTGATTATATTTGAAACGAGAATGAAATAGCGATACAGAATGACATTATTTCATAAAATAATAGCTTGTCTCTGTTAAAGGGACACAGATGAACTTAGATGAATGGATTTCCATCTCATCTGTTGTCTTTTCCTAGAAAAAACAGTTGGTACAAAATGACCAGTTTTACTGCATGTCATATCTGATGAGCTATAAGATTGTCAAGTAACAGCAAGAGAGATATGTACTTAAGAACTAGTTAACTTTAACTTACTCTGGAGAGCAGCTGACCCATATTTATTTAGGTTTAGAAATAGTTTTTCTAGAGTTTGTTGGAGGTAAAAATCACTTCTATGAAATATGTTTGATTAAAACTTGTAAATATTTTAAGATTGTTTTTGCCATCCTACAGCTCATATTGTCTTCATTTTTAATGGTAAGAAAATGGGTAAACACATTAGTGTGACTTAATGAAATTTTCATTTAATAAAATAAAAGAATGCTGGGTCGGGATATAGCTCAGTAGAGCCGTGCCTGCCTCTCAAGTGCAAGGTTCTGAGTTTAATCCCCAGTACAGGGGCAAATAAATAAAAGAATGCTGATTATAATAGTTCTTAGTTTTTGAAGTTGTAGATTTTTGTCCTAAGTTTGACACCCAGTCCGTTTGTCAGAGTGGATACCATGCTACTGCCCAGAGAGCCCTGGATGGACTTTGCGAGGGTAACTTCTTTTTTCTGTCTCGTGTAGCATCTTATAGAGTGCTATGCTAATAAATTACTTGGTAATTATTGAATGGACTGTGGAGTTATATAATTACTTTAGATTTTAAGATTCTAAAAGATTTGTGATTGATTTAAATAAATACATTTATGGCTATATATGTGCATAATTATACATTTGTTAGTTGGGAATAGGGAAGGGGAAATGCATTTGGCTTTGTTTTATAGCAGTTAATGTAGTCCTTTGGTTTTATTTTTAAGTGAAAGTGAGACTAACTTTTTTTTTCTTTTGGTTTTTAAGGCTGGGTCTCACTATGTAGTTCACGTTGGCCTTGAACTCACTTTGTCACTGAGACTGGCCTCAAACTCACGGCAATCCTCCTGCCTCAGCCTCCCAAGTGCTGGGATTACAGGCATGTGCTACTACATCCAACTGAGACTTAACTTTTGAGCTCAGATGTCAGATATCTTGGATGCAGGATTAGGATTTCATATAAGTAGTTTACATCTCACTTATATGTTAAAGATTATGTTTATATACCTGTTTTTCTTTCCAACGCACTGTAGTCCTGATAAACTTTCTGCAGGTTTACTTTTGTTAGGGATCTGGTAGATAAAATAAGGCTTAAAAATACCAACTTTTTAATTCTTCCTTTGCTTCCATCTTAGTGTATAGTTCTGAATGCTATCTGCTAGGAAAACACCAGTAGTTCAGTTTGGATGAGCCATGACATTTGGCTTAGATTTAGGCCTGCTGATCAAGCTTTGTCAGAAAACCTAAACAGCCCTAAAACTGATCTAGTCTAGTTCTGGCCATATCATTAGCTAAAATTGAATTTGTTACCAAATACTAGAAAGGGATAAAAGGGACTATGGGTTGGAGTGGGCAAGGGTGGTTCCTTAACGGAGAAGTATGTGTAGGGAAGGTAAATTTTCATCCCTTCAATCCCTGTCAGTTTCATCAAAGACGTGACTAACAAAAGTTTGTTCTACTATGTTTCTTGTCGCATTCATAATTGAGAAAGGTGTAAAATAATCTCTGCTCATATGCTCTATTTTTGTAGTTTTTAAGAATAAAAATAAAAAATTACCCAGAAGACTGAGGGATTACAAGTTTAAAGCCAGCCTGAACAACTTAGTGAGATCTTTGTCTTAAAACAAAAAAGACCACAAAAAAGTTACTCCTGGCTCCAGTACCTGTAATCCCAGTACTTTGGGAGGCTGAGGCAGGAGGATCCACAAATTCAGCCTGAGCAACTTAGCAACTTAATGACACCCTGTCTCAAAATATAAAAAATAAAAATCCTCAGGGATGTAGCTCAGTGTGAACACCACAGGCCCAATCCCCAGTGCCAGGGGTGGGGGAGCTGTGATTCCTATGCTTTTTTCTTTTCTTGAATTCTTAAAAAATACGTTATAAAACTAACTTTTTTTTCTTTTTCATTTCCAAACAGGAAGGAGAAAAATACTATTCATGTAATCAGTGTTACCACTCTTAACTAGTGTTTTGACTGAGGATTTACTGTTTGTCAGATTCTTAAAGTACCTATAATCTTTTATAGGAATTTCAACATTTGCAATTTGGTAATAACAGAGCTTGGTAAGTAAAATCTCATAGCATTTTGAAGATCTAAGTTGAGTTGGGAATTCGGTATTTTATCACCAGTAGGCCCTTAAGATTAAACACAGTATATAATTGCCCACACCTCTTGAGAAATGAGTTCATCTGTAAATCGACATTTCTAATGTTTCTTTGGTAGTTGCTGCTAGAATCAGAATTTAGGGATAAACCTAAACAACTTATAAAGTCCTCTTTTTTTTTTTTCACAGAAGAATCACTTATAAAGGCAAATTCTCCTAAAATTTCTCTCAACAAGATGCTTAAGTGACTTAAACATTATAATGAGAATACTGGGATAGAGAGATTCAATTAATTGAATTGTGCATTATCTAAATCTCATTTGAGATACTATGAGCAGCCCCCAGACTAAAAAAAAAAATCTATACATAAGCCTTCAGCAGTATTTTGGCATTTTTATGGAACTTACAGCATTTATGATTGCCTAATTAATATTCTCCGAAAGAATGGATACAAATATTAATTATGAGCTCTTTTTATCCTCACACATACTTATAGGGTGTTCTGGACTTTGGGTAGTAAAAGACATAAACATTTTTTTTGACTGACAAAATTTTATATCATTTTATATTACATAAGTATGTCTGCATGAAATAAAAGTTACACAATAAAATGATATACTACTGTGGTTTTTAAAGTACACTGTGTTTTCTGATCTCTGTTCATCCATTTTTTAAACAAAATAAAACTATTATAATTTTATAAGATTACAGCCCAACAAATTGATTTTAAGATCCATATACACACCTGTAGCTGTTTCTTCTCAGGTAGCAATCCTCACAAATTTGCCTTGTCTCCTCATATAATAAACTCTAACATTTTAAGATATGTACAACAATATGAATAACATTAGACATATTGTAATTTTGTTATTTGCCTTTGAGTAAGATATTTTGTGCCCTGGTCTTTGTTACATCACTATACTTTTGGCCGAATGGGTGTTTACAGTTCCAAGGCACCACTGGGACAACCAGTAAAGAAAGATCAAGATTCCTCAGCATCGCAAAGAAAAACAAAAATCAAGATTGAAAGAAATATATGAGCAAACTGTATAACTGTATTTGAGTTGTTTTTGATATCTTACGGATGCAGATCCCAGATGCTAGCCATAAAGTAACTCTTAAAGGCGATTCTGGTACATAGCCTCCTTTTACCAGTCCCTATATAACAATTCTGGGCTTGACTTTGAAATTCTAGCCTGTTATATAGGTGCAAAGTGCAAGCTGAGAAGCATCATGGGAAAGGGTGTGTTCATAAATGCAAATAATGCAGTTGGTTGTATATTTGTATAATTTTTCCCTTTAGAATACACTTAGACTGGGGCTGGGGATTTAGCTCAGAGGTTCTGGCGCCTGCCTTCCAAGTGTAAGGACCTGAGTTCAATGTCCAGTAACAAAACAAAAGAATACTCTTAGACTGAACCTCAATTCCTAGAGAGTATTTTCCTCCTGGTAACACTTCTTGCTATCCTAAGTTTGTATTTTTTTTCTTTCAGTATTTGCCTTTTCTAAGTGTTAAAAGGTGCAACCTTAACATCATGATAAAATTAATTTTTAAAAAAATTCTTGGGCTGGGAATATAGCTCAGCAGCATAGCATCTGTTTGGCAAGCAGGAGGCCCTGATTTCTAGTGCCAAAAAAATTATAGCAGGGCAAGATCAGACCCCTTTTTTGTCTCATGCCAGAGCTGAAAGCAGCAAAAGTGAGTTTTAGGCTAAATTCCTTTTTGTAGATGATTGTAAATATTGCACTAATTTATACATTCGAATATATTGAAAACCTTTTAGTTTATAAGAAATTAACATCTAAGCCTTGTCCCTGAAATATTTGTATGAATAGTCTTACTCATTAGTAGTCATTAGTAGTCTTAGATTAAATGTGTTTTAACAAACACAAAATATCCAGGTAGGTAAAAGGTGAATGTAAAACTACAGTCAGTCTTAAATAATCAGAATTCCCCAGATAGTTACTGTATATAATTGTGTGTAATATTTATTAGTGGACCCAGATAACTTCTCCATAGAGATTCTCCCTTTAGGCCATGTGTTCTACTCTTGTTGTAGACAGAATATGAAGGTTCACCTTCTAAAAAGAGATCCTGGACAGCCTTGGACAGCTCTGGCATAGCAGAGAACAAAAGTATCAGGCTGGTAGCCTTCAAGCTCAGTAAAAGTGACTCCTGCTTAGATAAGTAACACTAGTGATGTTTCTTTTTTTAAAGCATCACGTGGTTCTTTGAGACTGATGAAACTGGATTCTCCCCAGATAAGCAGACATATGCAATCCTATCTCAGATACAGAAGAGAATGTAAGAATCTTAGTCACATCTGTTGAATTAAACTATATATTTTCCTACATTGGTGATGAACAGTATGCATAGGAAAGCTAGAGATATCAAAAATTTTAACTGGATATATCATTATATGTTACTCTTAATCCTAGTTCAGTGTTTCATTGCTATTGAAATTTGCTTAAAATGTGGCTCAGTTACCTGCTGTAGGCGGTCCAGCAAGCACAGCCATGCCAGCAAAGAAACTAGCAAGTCCCAAAAATCTGTGTACTCTAGAATTCTTAGACAGATCAACCTGTAGGGATAAAAATTCAGTGTTAGCCATATTAAGGATAAAATTCTATAAAGATCTATTGACTACAAAGAGGCAAATTTATAAACATATATCTCAAACTGATCACTTGACTTCATAGGTAATTTGGATTAAATAGGGAACAGTAACTTGGCTAGGTAGGCAGTGTTCGCAGATTATTGGTAGAACACTGGTTTTGGTTTTTAGTTTTTCAATACTTTTATGTGGTTTAGGAGTGCCCCCCCATCTCACTGATCTCTATTAGGAAATACTTTATGATCTGAGCTGACAGTGATACTCCTGAATCCATCTATGGCTGATTACCAACCATGGGTTTGTAAGAACTCAGATGTCACAATTTAGTTGATTTTGGCTTCAGGAAGCTGGAGTTTTGCCTAAGTGAGCTACAGTGTCCTGGTCAGTAACAGGCTAGAAATGTCCCAGGGATTTTGTTCTAGCACATTGAGGACCTAGTTGTAAGAGCCCAAGGGATTTCAAGAACACAGAAGTGTTTTCATATATTTCAGTTCTGTCTGGCCTGGGATTTTGAGCCAATTTAGGGTAAAAATGAGATTCAAAAACAAAAAACCACTAATGTCCCTGTTAAAGTACACAGGACCAGTGCTAACAATCTCAACAAGAAAGAAGCCACACTGGTTCACTGGTTTTTCTCTTGAAGAGTTCCCTGAGTACTCCAATATTGTGCCTTGGAGGCAAAGACTGTCCGGGAGCTGAAGGAGAGAACACAAGTAGGAGACTGATAAGCAAAATGAAATCCTCCTGATCCCTCTTCCGATTTAATTCCTTTTTGTCCCATGTGTCTGGCCCCGTCATCCTTCCCCTTAAGGTAAGATGAATAATTGGACAGAATATGACTAGCTATGGGTTTCTGAAGCCTTCAGTATGTTTTTTTTTTAAACTGTAAAAGTAATATAAAATATGTATTCTCTTTTGGGGAGATTAATACTAACATCAAAAATAGTAACGAATGTCTACTCACCAGTACAGGAAGTATCAGTGCCAGGTAACCACCAGCAAAAATGGCAAAGAAGATGGTATAGGTCATAAGTAGTGGAAATGTGGTGGCTAAAGGAGCAAGCAAGTTAGTGATACCACAGAAGATGAGGTAAGACTTGTGGTACTGATACTTCCTGATCCAGTTTTGATCAGCAACCCATCCAGAAATAAGCTGGCTGACTGTCTCAACGATACCTGAAACAGAAAAAGTCTTAGGAAATCTTAATTCCATTTTCCTAGCCCCTTAAAAAAAATAGGAATGCATCTTTCCCCAAGTATAATATCAACTCATTCTGAGACTAAGATATGTGAGGGGGAAAATATTTTCATTTGTCTACCAAAACAGCATTTCCATTTACTTATTATAAATTCAGTAAAAACATTGGAAAGACAAGGCTTCTCCAGAATTGAGCGGGAAACTATCAAGTTGCAAGGTATGGGGGTATGTATGGGTGGGTGTGTGTATGGTGGTGTGTGTGTGTGTGTCTGTGTCTGCATCTGCATCTGTGTCTGTTTGGAAAGCTGCTAACACTTCACTGGGAATCCCTAGGCTTGGACCTGCCCAGTCCTTTACTTTTACATGTCCTGCAGGTGAGGAAATGAGATTTCTCTCTTTGTTTTTTTTTTCTTTTGAGACAGGGTCTCCTTATGTAGTTTAGGCTGGCCTTGAACTCACAGCATTCCTTCTGCCTCAACCTCCCAAATGCTGAGGTTGCAGGTGTATGCCACTACACGGGGCAGGTTTATTTTAGTCTCGTCGTTTGTGAGAATCTTCAGCTTCTTGATCAAGCATTCTGTCTTTAAACATTTTTATGAATATACTCAACTAAAATGGTTTTGAGTTATTTTAAATATTATCTAATATGACTAGCTTCGAGTCATATTTATGTTTTACTATTATTTTAACGGGAAATAACTGCAAATACCGATCTAATGGTATTAAATGCTTCCTGTAGGCCAAGGCACTATATACTAAACCACATGCACTACGTTTTTAATCCTGACCCTTATGAGGTTAGGTACTATTATGTGTATGTCACAGATGAGGACATTGAGGACAAAGAAAGCTAGTAACTTGCCCAAGAACACAGAGCTAGGAAAAATAGCAAAACCTGATCCTGGGAAATTAAGCTCCAGTACTAATTTCAACTAGGGTAAATCTAGGCTGTCCATCTGGGATTTAACTTCTTAGAGTAGCTGCTGCCTCTGAGCACCAGCTTTTTAAAATTCTGTATCATGTACATGAATATACGACTTGGGTGAGGGTGCCTTATCCAGTGGAATCTGTGCAAAGTGTAATGACAGATCTATGCACAGGTACACCCTAGTACTCCACCTACCCTTGAAACCTTGCTTTTCCTGTCCTTCTTCAACTTTTATTGCTTCTCTTCAACTTTTAAATAACATTTTGTAAACTAAATTCATTTTCCTTCTAGATAAGAGGTTGTAGGTTTCTTACCAGCCACAGAAACGAGGTAGGAGGCGTCCATGATGTCAGTCCCCAGTGTTTTGGCTCTGGCAACTAGGTGAAAAGTAGGGATGAAATATGCCAACTGACTGAGGAGAAATGAACAGGTAAATATGCAGAAGAAAGGATTCCTCAAGAGAGAAAGGTCAAAGAGTTTCTGTTTGCAACTACATGAAATAGCCTTTTCCTTACAACTTTCTTCATTACTCGTGATTAACAGTTTATTCCTGTTAGGCCCACTGTTGATCTCTTCACTTCGATTTTGTGAAACTGTTAAAATTTCATCAGGTTGTCCAGCTTTCTGCAGAGTACTGTCCTTGATGAAATACTCTTGTGTCTCATTACCATGTGTTTCTGTTCCATACATTACCTCTGGACCACTTGCAGATAAATTGCCAACTTTAATATCAGAATTGTTCTCACTTTTGATATGGATAGGTCTTAAGAGCATACTAGAAGGCACCAAATTCAGCGCAATAGCTCCAAATAATAAAAGGGCACCTAAACAGAGAAATTGAGACATTAAAAAGAACCTTTCATTCATAATACCTTGTGGTCATAGTCTCAGAAGAGACCCCACTACATGGTACAATAATCCTTGAAAACACTTTTGCCTCCAATTTAAAATGAAAGCATTCAATTTAAGCCTGTTGACTTGTGAGTTACATTGTTATATTCATGTCCTTTGAAGATAGAAAACTATTAGGTGGTAGGGAAGCAGAGGTATTTATTTTTGTTAAAGGGAACAAATATGTATTTTTTGAGGAACAGGTAGTGTTTTAAATAGTAGGTGACTAATGTTTTAAATAGGAATTTTAAATATCCTGAAGTGACAGTTTAGATTTACGTACAGAAAATACACAGTTAGATGACAGAAATTATTTAGAAACAACCTCAGAGGGCCAGGGATGTAGCTTAGCAGCACCGTGCCTACCTGGCAAGCACAAAACCCTATGTTTGATTTCCAGTACCAAAATAAACCTTAGAAAAGAGGACAGTTTTTTATACTATGACATTTGAAGGAATACAGATGCTTGTCTTGTCTTTGATGCTGAGGAGTTGCTTGGTTTCAGTACATCCTTACCAAAGCTGTTACTTGTTGGGGTTCTTAGAATGAATGAGTGTTAGGTTCTGCTGTCCATCTTAATTTGTTGGTGTTATTCAGCATGAGATTACTGAATAAATTTTACTTAGAAAATAATCTATAGAGTTGTAATGTAGAAAGAAATAGGCATATGACTACACATATTTACATATATATATGCAGTATATATATCTTTTCTAGTAATTTAAAGATTATTTTAACGGGTTCTTTTAAGGTATAAAGAAAATTATGGCATGAGTGATTTTTATTTGTAAAAATTCAGAATTGATTTAAAAATGAAAAAAAAAAAAAAAAAAGTAAGGCCTGGGATTTAATTCAGTGGTTTTGCCCCCTGCCTTGCAAGCACAAGGACCCGAGTTTGATCCCCAGTACAAAAAAAAAAAGATTTAAAAATGAATCCTTTTTTTTTTTTTTTTTTT